GAGCAGAGACGTTACCGCGAACAAATTATGGCTTGAATGTCATGTACACTAATACTGACACGTTTCTTGATGAGAGAGGAATTTTAAACACTACTAAAAGTACACCAACAGATATTGTAGGAGTTGTAGAACTGTTGTACAAGAACAGGAGAATTGACCCAGAGGAATGCGAGTTCAGTATTGCTGGATATGACTCATTTACGGACCTTTCTCAAGAATCTTGCAAGAGGGGCGTGGTTATCTATGCTAGGCAAGACCTTTGAGCCAGCCAGGCGAGGGTAAAGGGAGAGGATGTTTCTGAAGAGTCCAAGTGGTGTAAAATTATATTAAAGGAAGGGAACTTACTTATCGTCGGGTGTATCTACAGAAACCCCAAACTGTGGCCCACTAAATCAAAGGTACTTAAGAGCCTTTATAGACAATGCAGCGATGCTCAACCCTAGCCACCTCCTTATCATGGGGGACTTTAACTATGGCAACATGGACTGGAGAAACGAGTTCACCCCAAATGACTTGAATAACCCTGCTACTCTTTTTGTAGAAACTCGGAGGGTATGGTGGCCAAACTGGAACACCTTGCCCCAGTTAGCACCAGTCACCATATAGTGTTGTAATTCAGATTTAACTGTTACCTAGTTTAGATTAAGGCCAGGCCAAGGTGCAAATATTACAAGGGAAATTACAACGGGATGAGGGAAGAGATGAGAGGTATCAACTGGCCTGACTCATTAAAGCACAAGAACGCAGACACTACGCTGAACATCATAACTATTAAAATGACCCATTTGATCGATAAATATATACCCGAGACCAAACCCAGTGCCCCTAGGAATACGAGGGGATCCCTACACATGAACCACGCAGCGGTCGACAGAGTTAAGAAGAAAACTCAGAAATTCAAAACGTGGGTTGGGTCAAACGAGGAACAGGACAGGAGGACGTATGCAAGAGCCAGAAACCAAGCAAAGATAGAGTGTAGAAGGGCTAAAAAGGAGTTCCAGAGGCTGGTTGCAGGCGATGTCAAGTTAAACCCAAAGGCGTTCTACCGCTATGCAAAGTTGAAATTAAAAACGCGAGTAGGAGTATCAGATCCGAGGCTTGAAGATGGTAGTTACGCAGATTCTGACTAGGATAAAGCCGAGGCATTGAACAGCTTCTTTTCCTCGGTGTTCACAAGAGGGGATGCAATTAACCTTCCTGCGTTTGAGGACAGACGGTTCGACACAGCACTGACCCACATTGTTTTCACAAAAGAGGGTATTAGAAAGAAACTGTCCAGGCTAAAGGTCCATAAGAGTCCCGGCCCTGATTTAGTGCATCCTAGAGTACTAAGAGATTTGTGCAACGAGCTTGCCAAGCCCCTGAAGATCCTGTCCCCAGTGAATGGAAAGTGGCTTATGCGAGTCCTATCTTCAAGAAGAGCGATCGTCACTTCACGAACAACTATAGACCGGTGAGCCTGACCAGCATAAGTAAAGTACTTGAGAGTATTATCAGAGATGCCGTAATGGAACATCTACTACGAAACACCCTTGCAAAGGATTGCCACACTGACACTGCCGGAGCACGATTTCGTTGCCATGCTCAGAGACTGGTCATGTAAACGAGCCCGAAATAAATAAATCATGGCGACACTTGTGACTGAGCAAAAGTAATAATCTTGAAAAATTAATATCTCCGGTATCCTTAATTTCCGGTGGAAATATCATAAAAGAAAGATGTCTTAGAATTGTGACTACATTAAGAGATACAGTACATATTTTAATACGGAAAGTAAGACCGGTGTGATCCTATAAATTCACCAAAAAAGCATTTTCCCAATAAAAGCAAAATTTAAGGCGGACTAGTTTCGTGTTGTTGCCGAAATCGTGGATGGAAGAGTAACGTTCACCCGATTCTTCACAGACCCGTTTTGTATGGGAAAATACCCATCAATACAAAATGTTGCGTTTAATTATATTACCAAGAATGTTCTCTGCAGGTTTTTGCACGTTATCAAATACTGAAACTACGCCAGCCCACGTATACCGTACTATTACTGAAGCTTGACGACAGTAAACATGAAAAATTTAAGTTTCTGATAGAAGCAAACGATCTTTTGGGTAGCGCCAACCTCCAGTGGAAAACTCGATAATACACTATTTTACAAACGAATAACGCTATGGTCGTTTACTGGTGGTTAAAACATGCGCAAGAATACACAGCTGCAGTGTTCCACGCCTGTTTGATTATTCATAGCACTGTAATGACAATCGGTTGTGCGAGTACAGTACTCTGCCCATGTGTGTTCGTGTTAAAGGTTGGGGGCGCTATAGTAACAGCAATCCTTGACCTATATACAATACCTGTAAATTGAGCACTTCCGGTAGTCTTCCTGAATCGGTGGACGGAAATAAAGTCCACAGGATAAAGTCACATGACTTATACACATTGACAACACAATATATATATATATTATATATATATATATATATATATATATATATATATATATATATATATATATATATATATATATATATATATATATATATATATATATAATATATATATATATATATATATATATATATATATATATATATATATATATATATATATATATATATATATATATATATATATATATATATATATATATATATATATATATATATATATATATATATATATATATATATATATATATATATATATATATATATATATATATATAGTAAATCACTGTAGGTGCGCGTGATCTAGGTATATGCTGATAACCACAAGGAAAGAAGAAAACATGAAGTTCCCAAGCGCTTTCGTGTAATTCACATCTTCAGGGGTGAGTACAGACTTGAGAGAGTAATACAAATCAAGGTGTATATATACAGAGGAGGGTGAGACCAGGTCCACAATGGTCAGGTATTAGGTAATGACCCTACTAATCTTTAAATAGCACACAACGGTTGGTGGTCAGGTCAGATGGTCTTGGGATCAGTTCTATAAAAAGTTTTCTTAGTAATGTTTAGGCATTTGTCTAAGAAAGATCTAGGGTATTTAAGGTTTGAGCCAATATTATATATATATATTTGATCCCAAGCCCACCCATGACCATAAGAATATCTTAATATTACCATTTCACAAAAATTTCTCGCATTCCTTCACAACTAAAAACCTGGAACGTCAATGTGGCATTTAAAAACTCATGCACTGTTAAACAAATGTTAATCAAGAACTCCCCCCAACAACACAATTGGTTGCATTTATAAAGTTCCTTGCAAGGAATGTAATGTTTTACTTAGGCCAGACAGGTAAAGATCTTGCAACTAGAATTAAACAACACAAATACAGTGTTAGGGCAGGCCAGGAATCCAATGCTCTGTTTGTTCATTTGAGGGATAACAAGACAAAGAACATCATCAACATATGATGATGTTCTTTGTCTTTGGCCTAGAAACAGTGACCCTTTGGAATTTTTTAGACAAGCTTAATGATATTGTCCCTAGTATCACGTTCAAAATTGAAAGAGAAATAAATGAATCCCTTCCATTTCTTGATATGCTTATCATGAGAAATGGCCAAAACTATAAATTTAAGGTATATAGAAAGCCCACACAGGTTGATAGTTTCATTCACTTTTTATCGAATCACTTTGAGTCTACCAAAATGTCAGTTTTTTCTGCTATGTTCTTAAGATGTCTGCGTATTTGTGACTCTGAATTTATTGACGATGAATTGAAACACATTCGTTCTATTGCACAGAAACTCGGGTACCCTTCTGTGTTTGTTGATCGTTGTTTTAAAAGGGCTAAAAAATCCTTTCATTCCTCTCAAACTAGACAAGTTCCTACACTTAAGAATATTTTGACTCTGCCCTATCATAATGAATTTGTCCCGTTAGTTCGGTCCCTCAAGCTTCTAAATATTAATGTTGTTTTCAAGTATGACTCAACCATTACCAATATGTTAATAAGGAATAGCCCAAGTTTGAATGTAAATGGAAGTGTTTATTGTATTCCATGTAGCAAATGTAATTGTAATTATGTAGGTCAGACAGGAAAAACTCTGCAGCTCAGAATCAAACAACATAAGTATAATATCAAAACTGCATCTGAAAGCAGTGCCTTGTTCGTTCATGTTAGGAATAATAATCACCCCATTGCTTGGAAAAAAGCTTAGAAGTATTCAAATCATCTTGTGTCACAGAAAGACTTCTGGTTGAAGCTAGTTTGATTAAGGAATTAAAATCAATAAACCTTAGTGATGGTCAGTTCAAAACTGATAATATGTTACATAAATTTATTTGTCAGTGGCCCAAGGTTAAAAATGCTTTGAAAACCTTTGATCTAGATGTATGATAGTTATTTTGTGGGTCCCTTTTTTCTGACCTGACCTGGTTAGTCACGTCACCACCCTTCTCTTAAGCTCCTCTACGTGTGTGTTGGTGTGTGGATTAGTGGATGTCATCATTATGACCTGACCTCATGTTTTTAAGGTCACCCTGTATATTTAAGCCTCTCTCTGTCCATGTAATCCAGTTGCCTCTGACGATGTCTTGAATAAAGACGAAAGCTAAGGTACTCCGTTGTTTCCATTCTCCCGTGTGATTTTATCAAGATATATATATATATATATATATATATATATATATATATATATATATATATATATATATATATATATATATATATATATATATATAAGGAAAGAAGAAAACACAGTTCGTGTTTTCTTCTTTCCTTGTGATTATCACATATACCTTGCACCTACAGTGCTTTACTTGCATATATATATATATATATATATATATATATATATATATATATATATATATATATATATATATATATATATATATATATATATATATATATATATATATGATGGCATTGCACGTAGTTTAAGTTAGGTTAGGTTAAGTCTATTCACTGACTCTTTTTTCTTGTGACTTTTTTTCCTGGATTCCCTATATCATATTGCTGTATCCTCCTGGCCTGAACTTATTTAAATAAAAATCTTACCGTCTGTCGTTAGTGAAGAACATGTTGTGGTACCCTTTCCTTGTACATCTTCAGTAATCACACGTATTATTTCCTAGTTAGCGATGATAATGAGTCAGACGAGACCCAATCGACGAAGGCGTTTGTTTATACTTGCAAGAGCGCGTCGCCATGTGTGACGTCGAGTGCCTGATCACCCACACCAGTACCCACAATAATGGAAAATAACACTCAACTTTATAACGTCACTCATCACGTCTCAGCTCTACGACATCAATAACGATGGTAATACTTGCAGCGTTGCCATGCAAGTGTCATTGATATATTACACAAAGTACGGGTGGAAAATCTAATAAATAAATGGTGACGGGTAAAGTTTTGCAACTGCTACGTCAGCAGGAGGGGTCTTCCCGGCTCCAGAGTTAGCACGATACTGGGGCCTGGGCTGGACGGAGGTGGACCGTGGGCGCCTGGTGGAGCTGCTGTCGAGACTCGAGTCATCAAGAATGCATGACTGGTACAACCACCATCGACCGCCTCAATGGTCGTCCACGGGGTACCGACACCCACATACACAATACAGTACTCCACCGAGTCACACATAAATGTTTTAGAAGCCAGAAGACATGTTTAAACAGCAGATTTTAAGGCTAAAATTTCTGAAATCGAAATAATCAAAGAGTTTATTTCAACATTCTCCTGACTACTGTTTTGACGGCACGTAAATCTGTTCTGTAATTGGCTATTAGACATTTTTTTTAATAAAATTACAAAAAATCAGAGCAAATGGCATTCATTATCTATACCATAATATATAGTAGTATTTAGCCCTCAGTGCAGAAGTTATTAAAGATATCTCGACCTCAGTGGTTGTTGACCGGTGAACTATATCGTCGGTCAGTTAGTAGTCACATTACAGGAAAGCACACAGATTATCTTAAAAGTTATCTTAAAAGGTTTTTTTCATACTCATTTCCAACTGTTCGGAGAGGAGTGGACTGGTGATGGGAAGTGGTAGGGTCAGTCAAGGATTAGACAGTACGCGGCCCACACACGTTCAATAATATTGACTCGGGAAAATAAATTGACAGCAATATTTCGTCAAAATCCGCCAACCACAAACGACTCAATAATATTGTGCAATGTTTAGTAGTGCTCTTGTCACCCTGTGAACTTCGTGAAGATCTGGTTCACTGACCATGGATATTGTCACGCCTGTGTAGCTCTTGCACTGGCAATTTCCCTGGGCAAGAAAAAGAAAACAAGTCGCAAAAGGAAATGCTAGATGAAGAACTGGCTGAAAACAACGACACAAATGAGAATCTCCTATCGGAATTGCGCTTAAACGAGCCAGGCGACTAAAAGATTTTCTGAGAATTGATGGAGAATGTTTCGACGAGTTACTGAAGATGGTTACTCCTGTAGGGGTATCGAGATATTAAGGTTGTCTAGCACTCAGGATGGAAGGAAACTCTAATGTGGTTTTCTTGTATAATATATAAGTTATATGATAGACAGTCTGGTGCTGGAGGTGCTGTGTGGTGAGGGGCTGCTTGGTAGAGACGTGCGGTGAGTATCGTGTTGAAGGAGGTAGATGTGCAGGAGCTTTGTTAGAGAAAATGTTGCCTGTTGCTGGCCTCCTGGTTGAATGAAATGTTAACAGCGTGGAGCTTGCTGGAGGAGATGTTGCTTGTTCAGGAAAATGGGCAGAATGAGAGTTGGTTGGTGAGGAAGCTCAGAGAAGGACATGCTCGCTGGCGGGAGCGAGGACCGCCAGGCAGGCGGAGGAGAGGCGAGGGTCGCCAGGCAGCGGCAGAGGAGGAGGTGTTGCTTGTTCAAGAAGATTGGTCAGACTGAATCTCAATGGAGAGACAGAGCTTATATACCCCGCAGCAGCCGCTATGAGTCATGGTGGGAAAACCCGAGAAGTAGCCGGTGACTAGTTCCGTTGCTAAGATACGGTAACATCTGGTTGGTTGCTAGGGAAGGCGGCACATTGGAATGTGATAGCAGGTGGTGGGCTGCTACGCAGTTAGTTTGTAGGGGAGTCGTCCACTACACTCCCCTCATTGAGAAAAGAAATACTGTACTGTGGTGCGAAAAGATGTTTCAGCACGTCAACGGCCATCAATTACATTACGATACTTGGCCACAGGGAACACATATGAGTTCCTGAAATTCATAAGTGCTATATCACCATAATCGATAGGCCAAATTATAATAGAAACCTGTGAAATATAATTCAGTGTCTCAAAGATTAAAAATACAGGTAAGGATACAAATATTGCTTAAATAACAAAATATTTTAAGGATACAGACATTATAGAAATGTATAGGTGTTGCACATATAGAAATAATTTCCAAAGATCAATGACCAAGTATATTAGTATAAAAAATGGGCATTGATAATAATTACATCTTCCACAGTGCAGGGAGTTCACGATATAGCTGTATAAATTCCAAGATGAACCTCCTGTCCTTTTTTGTGGAACCCGTATCAGGAGCAGTAGATACCTGAGGATGAAAAGAGGGTACCCAGAAATGTTGTGGGCGAGGTGGTGCTGCAAGCAGTAAAGGTGGGCAGACTGGCGAAGGAGGCGCGGGATGAATGTGCTCAAGGCGATGGGAAGGCTGGCATGGGGCAGTAGCCTTGAATGCAGAAACTGCCTGTCGTAATGTTTGCAGTAGGTCGTGACGGACAGCAGGAGTGAAGTGGTTGATGTCAGGAGTAGGTGTGAAGTCCCTGGGGAGGCGAAGGGGTTCGCCTAGGGTGAGATCCGCTGGGCTGCAGTCTATGTCTTCTTTGTGGGATGTGCGGATGCCAAAGAGCACTAAGGGTAGAGCATCCGTCCAGCTGTAGGGGTCGTGTTGTGCCTTAATGGCATCCTTCAGCTGACGATGAAACCGCTCTGCCATGCCATTGGATTGAGAGTGGTAAGAAGTAGTGAGGTGTCTGGAAGTGCCGAGGAACTGCAGGAGACTATGCCAGAGTTGTGACTCAAACTGGACTCCTCAGTCAGTGATGACAGTCGTGGGAGGACCGAAACGGGAGATCCAAACAGACAGGAAGGTGCGGACGGCTGACTCTGCTGTAGCATTAGGCATGGCTTCTGTCCACCTGGTGAAACGGTCAATGCAGGTGAAGATGTAGGTGTTGCCGCAGGATAATGGAAGAGGTCCCACGATGTCGAGGTGCACTACCTGGAAGCGTCCTTTGGGTACAGGAAAGGTTTCTAAGGGAGCCCGTGTGGAATGATGTATCTTAGGGGACTAGTAGGCCAGGCACTGGGCAGCCCGTACACGTGGGTGACTTAGTCCATGGATGTGGTTGGTGACATGCAGCGGTGAGACACCTGAAGTGACGGAGGTTGTAGCGTTTACCAACCCCTGTCTAGCGTTAGCACCAAAACATTGATGGTACCAACAGAAGGTAGGTGCACTGTGCTGGGGGCTGGCGGCGGGGTCTAAGGCAGGACGGGGATGTCGGGGTCGGTAGAACACAGTGCGTGGGTCAAGAGCAGGATCAGCAGCAGGCTTGGAGGAGTAGAACTGCTCGAGGGTGTCCATCCTGCGGTGTATAGATTGTAGCAAGTCCCTCATGTCTTGTTTGTCTGGTGGAATGCTACTTCTCTGAGGAGCATTGATCTGGTTGACAAGACCGGAGCTAAGTGATGGTGTGGCCACTGAGTTGTTAGTGGCAGGATAGTGCACAGCAGTGTATTCATGGAATACAGTACTCTGTCTGCCGTGGCTGCTTAGGTCGCCGAGGTAGTTGAGTAGTCCAATGCCGAGAGGGCGAGACGAACTTCTGCAGGGAGCTTGTGAGTGTGAAGCTGGCGCAGGATAGTGTCAGGAAGCCTGTCTGTGTGGCGGGAGTTCCGTCTCCGCATCTCGACCCAGAGATGCGCAGGCGTTGAGTTTCCGAGGGAGAAACCGGATAGGTCTTGCAGGAGACTGGTGTCAGGCCGCTGGTATCGCCTCTTGAGAGCGTCTCGTAGAGCTGTGAATTTATTGTCATCTGGGGGCTTAGTGATGACTTCTGAGACTTGTGTGGCGACTTCCGTGGGCACGGAACAGACCAGGGCGATGTTCTTCTCTTCGTCTGTAGCTGTTGAGCCGATGAGAGCTGCCTCCATGTGGATTAGCCAGTCTTCAATGTTGTGATTGAAGATTGGAAGAGTGATTCGTTCCTCATCCATCCTGTGTGTGTTACTCGGGGTCACCAATTGTTGCGTAGTGTATGTGACCAGTTGTCAAATTCTCTTTGTTAGGCTCACATACATACATTTACTAAAGATGGAGGTGAGAAGGCAAACTCACTATGGCGTTATATATATATATATATATATATATATATATATATATATATATATATATATATATATATATATATATATATATATATCTATATATATATATTATATACAGTGAACCCTTGCTTTACGAGGTCAATTGAACCCACGGAGGCCCGAAACGCGTAAAGTGAACAACATAACATATGGGATTAATTGAAATAGAGACCAGGCCAACCCCCAAACTCCACTTTTTCCCGACACAATACGTACGTTTTAGTAAAAATAACATCTTAACTTTATGATGGTATGCACATACACATAATATAGAAGAGAACAATCAATAAGAGAATAATATACTGTAGGTTAGGTTAGAAAAAAACGAGGTTAGGTTTAACACTTACGTTAGTAGAAGAGATAGGTCAGCGTACGGGAATGGAGGCTGGTTCCGAGGCAGAGGGCAGGCTACTGGCCCTCAGGTGAGTCATCATCACTGTCATCCACACTTATCAGTGCCTCCCTGACAAATCCCTCAAAGTCACCTTCACTGTCTGTCACTGTCACTATCACTATCACTGGCTTGGGCTGGCTGTGGTGGGCTGCGGGCGAAGAACTCGATGCTTTGTTGACGGCTAGTGTTGATGTTGTCGTGATACACCTTGATGTAGGGCTCCATAGTCTGCAACAGCTGGGTGGTGAAGACTTCATACCGATTATCGGCAGGGTCGTCGGAAAGGAGGAGCTTGAGTTTCTCTACACACTCGATGGCACCCCTTACATTACTATGCGATAACTTGCATTCTTCTTGGGATGACGCACCACCTGCCTCTTCACTGACGTCGTCATCATCATCTAAAATCTCGTCGGCAGTCACATCAGGATCCCTTATCACCTCCATATTGTCGTCGTTGGTGGTCTCGGAGAAGCCTGCAGCTGTAACACTCTGCGCAGCTTCTCTGGCAAGGTCCACTGCTACTGCAACAGTCTGAACCTCACCAGTCACAGATTGACTCTGCCTCCCACCTGGAATACCTTGCAACACATGTCTCCATGCGAGACGAACCGTTGCTACAGACAGTCGATCCCATGCCTCCACCAAGAAGTCCACAGCTTTCTTGACGTTGAATTTTCTCCAAAAATGTTTCACAAGTACTTCTTGCTCTGC